CCCCCCCCCCCCCCCCCCCCCCCAAAAAAAAAATGGCTACATTTAAATTATCCATACGGTACGAGGAGGCTTAATTTTGTAACAGCCTTTCCTTTGCACCGTTTCTAAACGTTTGTCATGTTTTGGATGATTTTACCACCCACTACTGATAGAAAATCACTTTGGCGATCAGTTATTCGCACTGCTCAAAAACAGGCATGACAACTCGAGGATGTGGAGCCAACTTCAACACGTAAGAAGTTTGAAAGTATGTGAGTAGCAGTTTATCTAATAGTTACTGGTGTTACTCCTCTCACCGTAAAAGAACGGGCAAAATTAGTTTTCAACCCACTTACAGGACAAAATTTCAAGCGAAAATTGCCAAGTCCCCTCACACTACCAACAACCTGTAAGTACCTCAGAGGAGGAACTTCCATTTGAGAAGTTGTCATTCGAAGAAGGAGTCAACAAGTGATCACTTGATGCGGTTTCTGTGACTGAAAGATGAGTGGTACTTTATCTTGCCCTAGTACGAGTCGATCACAGTGCTAATCAGCTGCTCGTGTTTGGACGATTAAGTTTTAAAATACTAGTCTGGAGGTAGCGGTCTATGGATTGCTGCGGATTGCTGATGATTTCCAATAAGGACCAAACAGCTGCACAGTGCTCCTCGGATTTGAGGCACAGAGTGGCTCTACTTACAGGACGAATTCTCGACTGAGAATAACTCTGCCAGTTTCGCCATCATCCGTCATGTTAGGTACTGAAGCTTCGGTTGTAACATCATTTGTATTCCCGCTCCCATGCAACAAGTTAGCCAGTTACTGTGAAGTACAAAACCTTGCAAACATAACCTCAAAAAATAAATCGGAAGTTCCAATGTGAAACAAGCTTTATGTATGATTAATTGCGTTATGAGAGAGGATTTCGCCAAACTTATGTCAAGGTGGAGTTGAAAACCGCAAGTTCCGTACCTGTGCACATGAACAATCAAGTTAGGCACAAGGCCTGAATAAACTAAGAATGAGTACACCGGAATATGCGTTAGATATTATGAGCCAACGGGTATCCTAAAGACTGATACCTTCCTTATTTATCCCCAAAAATATCAATGCAACACTTGCCAAATCCACTTGAGATCACACTCTTCTCACCAAGCATCTATTACTTTGTAACACTCTTGTATATAATATATCTGAAAGTTGCTTCGGTCTGTCACTAAAATATGTTAATTGGGAACTACTTAAATGTATAAGAAAGCTAAACACAGGAAACGGTAGAAATAAAGATAGGTTATCGTTTAGGGAATTATTGGAAACCATCATGGATGCAGCGATAACAGCGATAACTTCTCGATTGGTTTCAACCCATTTTTCGGTTGGCCGGATGGCAAGTACTCTTCAGAAACCAGACTGTTCCCGAGGAAGCTCGCTTAGTTTAGGCTCAGCGAGCCTAGTGGATGACCTCCGTTTAAACACTTACTTGGGTTTATCATAATTAGCTCTTGGCCTCCGTCTTGAGAAGTTCCACATCTAGATGTCCACACAAGACACATCTACCATTCACGATTTCCAAATCCACCCATTTCATAATTCGAAATGGCATCCATTCAAGGGAAAGGTAGACATTGTTGTTGTGTTATCGCGCCGCCGAAAAAGGTAGTGAAAATCACGAACTTTGCCCCATACTCAACTTCTCTCAACTCACACTCAATTGACTGTTACCCAGGGTTGGTGTTGGAGCCACACAGTCGTTGGAGATCGGAAGAATGGTCTTACCCGGTGAGCATGATCAGCGAGAATCAAGGGAATCACATCTGTAGAGGAGACAGTGTGGGTAGAAAATGTTACGTCAGCTTGTTAAATAATTGTGCATCGCTGACCAGTTACTAAGACTGATGCATACAACCAGGTGCTTGCTACCGCAATTAGGTTTGAGGTTAAGCTATTATGGATGACTAGCACAATGTTTTAGGCCTCGGGAGCTGAATTCCGTTCCGTCTGTTAAAGGCGTTTGACTTACTAACTCCACCTCTTAAGGTATACCTAGGCGGAATCTTCTTGAGTATACTGGCATTCAAACGCCTCACACCAAAACCGAACTTATCAGCATCACAGAACAGAAACAGACAAACGCCAGCTAGGACGTTTTTTGCAAGCAGCTGTATGGCGAACTGATTCGCGGAACTTCGGGGGCGGAAAAGCCAATACATTCTGTTAACAAAATGGCCTACGATGTGGTCTCACAATTCTGTTTTAAGTCACTTGTTTAACCTAAAACTGTCACGAGACTCAGCTGAGACACTATTTGTCACCCGCTGTGGAAAAATGATACAATTTTATATATAGAGCATGGATTATCGGTGCGGCCAAATTAGTTCGTCGCAAGGTAAATTACATACCTGTTGCATTTCCGATAAAAGCTTAAAAGCACTCGTTTTAAGCGCTCTAAAAGATCTCGCTCGGTATGGCTAGTAGGATTTTATCCGGATTTTTTGTAATTATTTTTGTAAAAAGCAAACTGGCCCTGTTTCTAGTCCACTTCGACTTGCATTTATGTGGGCAGGAAGCCAATCGACCATCCTAACTTCAGCTTAAGTAGGGCTTCCTGCACGAATTTTCAAAATTTCCTTAAGGTTTGGTCACATTTCTCATTTCATCATGGGATTCTTTTTAAAACTCTGAAGCTACAGTTTTACGCTGTAAAACGCGGAAAAATGCAGAGGTTTTTTTGGAGTAGACCATCTCAGAAGAGGTTACATTCTTGCACCAATTTTCCACTTTTGTTAGAAAAATTCATGTTGACTGGGCTCAAACTTAAAGTTTGTCTTGTTATTTTCACATAGGTGATATGTTTTGTAATGTGCGGTTTACATGTTTTGTTTATGTGCTAAGACTAAAAGATTACGTACAAACTGCATCGCAGAAAAACCGAAATTTAGTCTAAACAGCTGTAAAATAAACTGCTCACTGAGCAGTTGCGTCTGCTTCCTCGGAATAAATCCTGGGGAGTGGAAGTTTGTAGTGGAATGACATATGAAGCCTGGGAAAGTAAGTCGTATTTTTGTCACTAAATATAAATAGTGATATTTTCAGGTGGAAGACGAGAAAAACATTTGTTTGATCCACTGATATAATAGAGGATATCACGGAAATTTATTTTACCGAAAGCATACTGAAAATACTAAGGTAATTGGAATGGAAACGGAAATGATACAATATAAGTTGAAAACCATTCGGAGATATCGCGCAAACTAAAGGGCTTATTTCACCATTCATATCACAGATTTTTTTAAAGGTAAGTGAAAGCTGGACTAGTTTGGAATATGGATTCTTCCCACCCTTCATCGACAATTAAGGACGCGTAAGATTAGAAAGTCGTAGAATACCTAGAGTGCCGCTTGTTTTCAGGCAAAAAGAGAAACGGATCAGGGCGAGAATACAAATATATTGCAGAAAATTTCACCGAAATACATTTCCCAAACATTTTAACCTTCAATTCTAAATTTACTAGAGTTGGGAAACTAATGTCGGATACCTAGTTTTAAGTCCACTCTTTGGACAGGTTGCAATGTACTATCATTGAAATGTAAGAGGTGTCCTGGAGTTACAGACCGCTAGTCTGGCAACTCCTGGTCGGCAGTCAGAATACTGTATCACCTAAGATATCAAATGTCGTTTATTCTTCTCATCAAGTTTGTTTCATTCACTTATACGATCCATTGGTCTTGATTTGGCCGGACGCAGATAGTCTATAAAATGAACTCACCTTCCCGCAATTCCTTGAACACTTTCAATCAAGCAAGGATGCCGTTAGCGATCTGGTCCACAAACAAGTACATTCCGAAACAAAAGTAGGGGATTTTCTATAAAGGAAAATGTCGGTAGCTCGGGTAGCGTAGATGGTGGTCGTTGGCTTTTTCACTGAGCTGGGCAATTCGATTGCAAACACTTTATCAGCAATCGAGGTGCCATCATCAGTGCGTTATTGGGGAGCGTAGTAGTGCGTAGCGGTTGGTTAGTAGTTGTGCACAACTACTACCCT